CAGCCCATGCAGAGTGTGTCCAACGGCCAATGCAGAGTGTATCCAACAGACTTTACAGTCGTTTTCCAGCAGCCCATGCAGAGTGTATCCAACAGACTTCACAGTCGTTTTCCAGCAGCCCATGCAAAGTGTATCCAGCAGCCAACGCAGAGTGTGTCCAGCAGCCAATGCAGAGTATGTCCAGCAGCCAATGCAGGGCGTGTCCAGCAACCAATGCAGAGTATGTCCAGCAGCCAATGCAGAGTATATCCAACAGCCAATACAGAGTGTTACCAGCAGCCAATGCAGGGCGTATCCAACAGCCCATGCAGGGCGTGTCCCGCTGTGATTCGCACGTCCTGCGTTCGCCCAAGGCGGCATGGCGCCCGGACGGCGAAAGCGGAGCACCCCTGCCTCCGATGCGGAGACGGGCGAGTCACCGATAAGATTCCCAAAACTTGGAGCTTCGAGTCAACGACGCACACACGTGACACACACACACATACACACACAATGGCAGCAGTAGACGACTACTCGCGGCCGACGACGCCTGACAAGATGTCCAGCGGGCTTGCGTCGCCGCGCACACCCAAGCAGACGGGCCTCGCGCTCACCGAGTACACTGCGAACCCGAGCCCGCCCAGCGAGTCGCCGCGCGATAAGAGCAGCGTGGTGCCAGAGGCCTTCCTGCTGCCAAACGGATATCCTGACGTATGTGGCCGCGCCAATATTGGCCTCGACGTGGGCTCGCTGACAGCAACGGCCAGTACCTTCGGCTCATCCTCACGTCGCGCGTGTACGAAGTGGTCAAGGAGACGCCGCTCACGCACGCAAGCAACCTCAGCAACCGGCTCGAGTGCAATGTGCTGCTCAAGCGCGAGGACCTGCAGCCCGTCTTCAGCTTCAAGCTGCGCGGCGCCTACAACAAGATGGCCCATCTCGACCCCAAGGACCGCTGGCGCGGCGTCGTGGCCTGCAGCGCCGGCAACCACGCCCAGGGCGTCGCCTACTCGGCGCGCCACCTGAAGATCCCCGCGACCATTGTCATGCCCTCGGGCACCCCCGATATCAAGCACAAGAACGTCTCGCGCCTCGGCGGCTCCGTCATACTGCACGGCGCCGACTTCGACGCCGCCAAGGCCGAGGCCGCGCGCCTCGAGCAGTTGCACGGCCTGATCTCGATACCGCCCTTCGACGACCCGTACGTCATCGCCGGCCAGGGCACTGTCGGCCTGGAGGTGCTGCGGCAGACGAACCTGCAGAACCTGCACGCCGTCTTCTGCTGCGTCGGCGGCGGCGGCCTGATTGCCGGCATGGGCGTCTACATCAAGCGCATCGCCCCGCACGTCAAGATCATCGGCGTCGAGCAGTACGACGCCAACGCCATGGTCGAGTCGCTAAAGGCCGGCCGCCGCGTGCTGCTCAAGGACGTCGGCCTGTTCGCCGACGGCGCCGCCGTCAAGACGGTCGGCGAGGAGACGTTTCGCATCTGCCAGGACGTTGTCGACGAGGTCGTCCAGGTCACGACGGACGAGACGTGCGCCGCCATCAAGGATATGTTCGAGGACACGCGTTCCATTGTCGAGCCTGCTGGCGCCCTTGCGCTCGCTGGTCTGAAGAAGTGGGTCAGCCGCAACCCCTCGCCCGACCGCGAGCGCGGCCTCATTGCCGTTGCGAGCGGCGCGAATATGAATTTCGACCGTCTGCGCTTTGTCGCCGAGCGTGCTGCGCTCGGTGAGAACAAGGAGGCCCTGCTGTCCGTCACCATCCCGGAGCAGCCGGGCGCCTTTGCGAAGCTCGTGTCCGCCATCCACCCCATGGGCATCACCGAGTTCAGCTACCGCTACTCTGGCCCGCAGAAAGCCAACATCCTCGTCGGCGTCGAGCTCAAGGCTGCGACGCGCTCTCGCCATCTGCCGGACCTCGTCGCCCGCCTCGCCGCCGAGGGCATGACCGCGACCGACCTGTCGCAGGACGAGCTCGCCAAATCGCACATCCGCTACCTGGTCGGTGGTCGCAGTGCCGCCGCAGACGAGCACCTGTTCATGTTCGAGTTCCCCGAGCGCGGCGGTGCGCTGAACAAGTTCTTGAACACGCTGCAGCCCGGCATGAACATCAGCCTGTTCCACTATCGCAACTACGGCGGCGACGTCGCCAAGATCCTGGCAGGCATCCAGTGCAAGCAAGAAGAGAACGCAAAGCTGACCAGCTTCCTGACAGAGATTGGTTACCCGTACAAGGAGGTCACCGACAGCGCCAGCTATAACATGTTCTTGAGGGATTGAGCGCCGGGCGTCCCGCATTTCCACCGGACCTCCATTCTCTTTGCGACTGGCCCGCCATGTTTTGGCAGGGCCGCACACATGTCCAAGCGACATCCGCCCTTCAGCCCTTTGGCGCCTTGCCACGAAACCTAAATCATATACCAACATAATTATTCACTTCATAATCCTCTGCCTTCCCATTGTGCGACTTCTCCTCCCCTACATTCGTGAGTCATTCCACCAATGGATGATTCCTTCGACACCTGGGAGAATGCCGCGTGCGATGGCAGCTATACTGGGAGCGGTGAACCATACCGTGGCGCAAACGACGACTCCGCAACACACAGAGCCGCCTACGGCGGCGACATGGCTCGACGTGCTCTGTCAATCACTGGCCTGGACGACGTGGACATGAAGAGCTCCTGGCACTTTACGCCGCTCGAGCTCGCCATTCGAGGCCATCAGCCAGAAGCAGTCCGTCTTTTGCTCTTAGCTGGAGCCACTGCACGGGATCTATACGCAGCGTCACCGGACCACACAACCCGTATGCGCCCTGTCGAGCTCGCAGCGTATTTGGGTCACACCAACGCCCTGATTGCGTTGGCGAGTCATGGTCTTGAGATACCACTGGATGCATTGAACCGAATTGCTCAATCCCATTCAATCGACTGCGTACGCACAGTCCTAGAGCTGCTTGAGCAAAAGGGTCTCGATGAAACTCAACTGCGTGCAGCCATGGGCAACGCCCTTGAATATGCCGCTTCGCACCCGCACGTCGAGACAGTAAGGTTTCTGCTTGAAGCAGTCCCAGGATATCCAGACAAACACAACGACGCCGACACAGATGCTCTCACTTAAGCGATGATGGCTCTGCTGCTAGATCGCGACTACGACTCCGGGGGCAGGAGGTTAACCTCAACCCCCAGCTCAATCACTCTGCCCATCCTGGATCTGCTCGTCAAAGCCGGGGCTGAAGTTGACTGCCGAGCTTTCTGGTCATGTGTATATGACGGGCGCCCAGAGACTTTAGCCAAGGACTCTGTTCTGTACCTCTTCAGTCATGGCTTGTCTGCCAATGAAACACGGAAGTCTCTGCCATGGGGTTTAGCCAACTGCCACGAGCCCGAAGACGAAAGCCAGCCGATGATTCTCCGCGTTGTAAGCGACGCTGACAAGGACACATCCGTCGTAGATGCATTCCTGGCAGCTGGTGCAGATGTGACAGCGCGAGACACGGATCTCAACACCCCTCTCCACCTCGCAGCACACGCTTCATTTGGGGAGGCTTTGCTTGCCCGAGGTGCGGACCTCGAAGCGTTGAATGCCGGGGGTCGGACTCCTCTGCTCACTGCATGCTCGAACGATCGACTGGATCTGGCACGGTTCCTCATTGCCCGTGGTGCAGACGTGGGCTCGATCATACAGGACGAACATTGGCTGTCGCTCATGTATACCACAAGGCATCCCAACTGGACCTCGTTACCTTCCATTGCATATGACGAATGGTCTCCTGCTCGCATCCAGCTATCGAGATTTCTTCTGCTACATGGCGCAGACGTGCAAGCCGCAGACAAGTCTGGTTTCACCGTTCTCCACATGGCTGCTCGGTGTGGTCAATCCGAGGTGGTGAGCTGCCCGATCGATCAGGGTGCAGAGGTGCGCGCAAGAAGCAAGGCAGGCCATACTGCCTTGCACGCTGCATGCTCCTGGACAGGTGCTTTCCTACATTGGTCTCAGTACTGTGGAGGCTGTTCGTCGGTGTCCTTTGACGGTGTTCAGATCCTGCTTGACAGAGGTGCAGATCCAAACGCCCAGGACGAGGCTGGAGTCACTCCCCTGCACGGCATCATGTGCCAGCACATTAACAGCTCTGAATACTGGCATCCCAGTGTGCTCAATCTGCTTCTAGAAAGGGGCGCAAGTCTGGACGTAAAAGCTCATGGCGACGACAGGACGATCAGATCCTACATTGCCGAGAGCAAATGGAGATTCAACGCGATTGGACTGCTCGAGAAGATACCGGCCAAGCTTGCACACGTTCGTTCGCATCTCAGCATGCGAGGCCAGGGCGGCGGTCGTGGCAGGGGCGGCAGTTGCTGCGTCCGAGCTAGAAGCAGAGGATGCGGCCGTCCGTACATCAACACGTGGACGTAGCCAGGTCACTGCTCGACACGATGCGTCGGTATGACAACGCAATAACTCTCTCCACGTTCCTCGCCCCACGTTTTTGACACCCTCACGAGGCATGCTTTGACGTTGCATTTCCAATTTTTCGCAGTCTATATTTATCAGCGCTAGGCCGATGTGTATTGGACCCTGCATACGCCCGATCAAGCGATTTTTTGGATTGGGGGATTGGCGCCAAGCACGGTCAGCTGCATGGCGCTCGGCTGATCAGCTCGTTAAAGCTCGTAAACGCGGGCTAAAGAGTTCCGGCTCGTCAGACAAGAGGCCTCTCAACGTCATGTCGAACTTGGCATCGCAGCGCGACGTGCGCGGATCTTCAACGCAGGAGCTAGGGGCGAATTTCTGGTATACAAAGGCTGATGTCTGCCGTACAGAAGGCTCGAGCATCCATTTAGTATTCCATTGTAATCAGTAATTGTACACAACATCCATCATGAAGACGACAACATTCACTCCCATCCTGGCCCTAGCCACCGCCGCCTCGGCGCAGGTGTCAGGCTTCAACTACGGCTCGACAAACAGCGACGGCTCCTGCCGCGGCTACAGCGATTTCATCCGCTATTTCAATGACGCCAAATCGCTCCCCGGCACGTCTGGCTTTCAAGTCGCCCGCCTCTACACCTCCGTCCAGTGCGGTACGTCTGCGTCGCCCATCTCCGCCTTCCAGGCCGCCATCGACACAGACACGAAGATCCTCGTCGGCCTGTGGGCGTCCGCGGGCCGCGCGGCGTACGAGAACGAACTCAACGCGCTCCTCGTTGCGGCGCGGGACCTCGGGTCTGCCTTCACGGACCGCATTGTAGGCATCAGCGTTGGCTCCGAGGATCTGTACCGCGCCAGCCCGCAGGGTGTGGCCAACAACGCCGGCGTCGGCGCGACGGGGACTGAGATCGAGGGCTACATTGGCTGGATCCGCGACTGGATCCGCGGCACTGCGCTCGAGGGGAAACCCATTGGGCACGTGGATACATGGACGGCGTGGGTGCTGCCCGAGAACCGCGGTGTTGCCGACAGCGTCAACTTTCTCGGTCACAACAGGTACATCCTTAACGAAACCCAGCAGAAACGCACCATACACTAACAAGCGCCAGTTTCCCCTACTTCGAGAGCACGAAGCCGAACTCCATCGATCTCGCGGCGCAGAACTTCCGCGACGCACTCGCGCAGACCGAGTCCGTCGCCGCCGGCAAGGAGGTCTGGGTCACGGAGACGGGATGGCCGCGCATCGGACCCAACTCCCGAGACGCGGTTGCGAGCACAGAGAATAGCCAGCGGTACTGGAGGGAGGTTGGGTGCAGTCTGTTTGGCAAGCGAAATGCGTTTTGGTACACGCTCAAGGACGCGAATTCGGCGCAGACGGACTTGAGCTTTGCTGTTACGCCGCTGGAGAACAATACTCCTTATTTCGATTTGACCTGCTAGATTGCGGGCTTCATCTCGTAGTCTCTTTACACAATCCCGGCATATTCGACAGACTGCGTCGTCAAATCTATTTTTGACGATACAGCAATTATACATTTGATCCTACGACCAAGACCGGAGGGAAGTTTAACTCCGTTCCCACATACCAAGCAAGACTTATCGCTGCCTGTGCAGGGCTACTCGCAGACTGCGTTGTTCCATGCTTCTCTGCCATTTCACTTTTCAAGATCATGAAGGTCGCGCTGCGAGCTTCAGGGCGGTCTTGTGATGCAGAGCGCACCTGCTGGTGAAGCTTGCCAGCACGCTGTGTCATATGCAATCTGATTGGAAGGCACCTGAAGTGGTTTCAACCGCAAGGTTGCTGGCTGCAGTCATCTGTGCTGCAGAAGAAGAGATGTTAAAGTCGCTGGAGGAAGCTTTCAGCCAACCGCCAGAAGTGATATTGAGCGATCCGAAGATGTCAGATTTACGAGCACTTCCACACCTAATCTCGTCTGCTGGAGACACTTGGCAGATAGATAGATCGGCGAATCTGTTCGAAAAAATGTTCAAGGGCAAAATAGTTCAAGACCGCAATCATATGTTTCACACATGAAAGATCTCCACGCTCGATTTCAATCAGATAGGGTTAATGTGATGCGCACAAACACCAATCACATCGCCATCGTCCACCCTAAAGCCAGAGTTAGTGATCAAGCATTTCTACATGCCGGCGCGGCTCCTTTTCCTGCTCAGGAAAACACAGGATCACAACGTCTCGCCCGGCCCTGTGGCTTAGCACATAAGACCGCCTGAGAGACTTAAGCAAGCTCAACATGAGGGTAACAGACTCGCGCGTATCGAAATTAGGTGATTCCATCGAAGCAAGTGTATCGAAGCAAGTGTGCGCAGCAGGGCGTCCACTCTCCGCGGAATGTTCGATAAACGACGGAATTGAATCTTGACTCTGAGAATGTGAATTGTGGGTATGGCAAGACTGGTGCTTGCGCATTGTGAATCGTACGCATGGGAATGATCGTAGCTCAGTGTAGCTATTAGGTGAAGGTGAAAGGTTGATGTTCATGAGGCACACATTCAACATCCCCTTTTCCTAGCATGACCGAAAGAACCACCATTCCTGATCAGTATTTGTGTGCATTGTTCCTTTTGATGGTGCATAGGATGATTGAAGTCGGCCTATTTCGAGACTTGCTGCGTTGCGGAATCCAACTGATCGGTACTCGGCGACGAAAATGTACGGTAATGGTCACGGCCCTGCATCTACTGACCATCAGATTGAAGTCTTCGACGTGTCCGCGGTCTCCAGTCTTCCGGCGTACCCGTCACACTCCGCGCTCCCTAAGCTCAACACTGTCTACGCGGCACGCGAGTTCGACGAAATGACTGTACACGATGTCCACGCAAAGAGTGCCACGGGTGTGGTCCTAGCCGGAACCAGCAACAGTGGCATCCCACCGGCTACGATGGCATTACTAGAGCGCTCCAGATCGGGCTGCAGGTGGTGGTTGGAGCCAAGCAGCACGAGTTGAGTGCCCCCATAGCGAAAATGGCTGTTTTGCGCGTCGTTTGAGCTGGAGCTGTGACTTGTATCGTGATTGCGAGTAATTTAGATAGGAAGCAGATCGGCTTGTTCGAAAGGTGTTATGAAGGCGGTTGAACTGCCTTGGAATCGTACACTTGAGCCTAGTCCATGTGGTTATTGATACATATAGCGTGTTTACTTCGAGATAGCCGATGCAACAAAAGGCCAGACTTTTATATTTGTACATGTCGTTAGCATTATCAAGATTCCGCAAAACGTCCCCGAAGCCCACCAATCCAAATGTCTCTGGTCTGACTGAGACGCCTCTCGTCTTAAAGTATGAAAAAAAATCCATGTGCCCCTGGGCCAATCTTCACCGAAGCCGCTGGCTCACTTCCGCTCAGGCGTGGAAAGTGTAGTGAGAGCCGATGTTGCTCAGATCCTGGCCCCCATTGTCTATGAGAAGACCGTTACCCTTGTTGGCCATGAAGTAGGCGTAGCGGTGGATGTCACTCGAAGCGTCTAGCCAAGGGAGAATCTCGTCCATGAACTTCTTGACCTGCGCGTCAGACCCGCGAGCCCTGAACTCGGTGATCCAGATCGGGCGGCCGGCTGCAACCTTGCGCGCATCCCCGATGTACTTCTTGAAGTACGCGGTGTTACTTGCGTCATCGTACCTGCGCTAGTCAGCCAAGGTCGATTCCGGGGGGAGGGCAACTGTACCAGTGGATGTTGATGAAGTCAATGTTGCAGCCAGTGCAAGCGTTGATGAATGACGAGAGGTACTTCAGCCCGTTCGCTCCGTTGGTGACTGCAGGAGAACCGAGGTACATCTTCTCCTTGAGCGCCTTCTGGGGCTCCATCCACTGCTTCCAGGCAGCTACAGCAGTGCCCAGGTCCATGCAAGCGCCACCCATGCCGAATCTGACCATGTTAGAGGACTCTGAAAATGAGAAATATATCACTTACTCGCAGTTATCGGGCTCGTTGAAGCTAAGCAGATGAGTGGGCATGTTTTTGTTTCCAAACGCGGCCTTCCAAACATCAGGACCCCACTTGCCGGTGTGATCTGGGCGGTTGGAGTGCAACATGGGGACGAACTCGAACCCGGTCTTGCCGCCGCTGTTGGAACGCGAGTCCCAATTGTAGGTCTGAGATATATTAAGTAAAGCAACAGTGAAGGTGAACTAATGCATACCCAAGTGACACGTGACCCTGGGGCGTTGAAGTATTTGACGTAGTTGGCGTCGTTGTAGGCGATGCCGCGACGAGAAGGACCTGGAGTCTCGGGAGGAGCGCGCGCGATGATCTTGGGGAGCGGGTTTGCGACCACAAAGTTGAAGAGCATCAGGCTCGTGTAGAGGAGGACTTGGAGAGGAGACATTGTACTCGAGGATGTGCAAAGCAGACCGTGTATTGGATGTGGATCGAAGTTGGGAGTAGTGAGTGCAGTGCGCGATGGCGCGGAATGAGCGGTCTAGTGGTTGAGACTGGGCGTGAATGGAGGTGGTGTGGTGGTAGAGTAGTCGGTCGACTGTGAGTGCGATATAGATTTATATACTGGGAGCAATGAAGGCAAGTGGGGCTAGTCCAGACCTCTCGCTAGCAAGTCCTAAGTGAAGTTGGGGTTGAAATGCTTTCACCTCGTGCAAGAGCATAGTTGCCCCTGTCAAAGTCTAAAGTGAAAGCCGAGTCGGGCACTGCATCTCAGACACTCATGCGTTAGCAGAGCTCAAAATTCGATATTCACTCTCGAATGACCTACATGACCTTGATATGAGCAAGGGAGGCTCTTATTGATAAGCACAGTCCCTACGAAAGAGATAATAGCAGACATAAGCAAACCACGTGTTCACAAATTGCAGCTCGAGGCGATGTAATGAGTTGAGAGCAAGCGAGATCATCAATCCGCTTTACAAATCACAACACTGCGCTCTGCGCTACTATGGCAGGCCGCCCCAGTTTTGCAGCTTCCCTCTTGATCTCATCACCGAGCTTGACGCCTTCGTCATAATTGTAGCCCACGCCCTCCCAGCTGGGCCGCCTTTTCAAGATCAAGGCCATTCACATCGATAAGTGACCGACAAACACGAGGAACACCCACTGTGAGTATGATACCTAATATTGAATCTTGCTGCAAGGGATTGGAAGGAGCGGAGCCAGCAATCCCACGTGCGCGATGGAATCAGTGGCAAGTGCAACAGCAAGCGCTCAGCTACTTTTGAGACTTGCGTGGTGTAGGCCTTATTCTTGCTGTTTGCTGGCATGTCTAACCACTATTGAATTCCACTGCATAGCTGGGTGATTGACTTGGAGACATGTCAAGGTTTGATGATCGCTGAAAAGCTATCTTACACTGTTCGTGCGCAAATGAAGACAGGGAATAATCGGGTAAATCATGTCTTATCGTCAACGTGTTCAAACATAGAAAATGATTGAACTATCAGATGCACGCATGAGCTTTTTGTGACTATTGAGATGTATCAGGCCGTGACTGCAAAGCTGGTGTTGGGAAGGGCGGCAGGTGGGATCGACCACGACGTGTGCGTCGGTCTGCGACAATACTACATCAACGTCGACGTATAAATCGCAATTAAACAATCATATCACTAAAACTACAGCGCTATAGAGAGGCTGCGACAGTGCATCTCAATGGACGAGCTGGCAATCTTTCCTCTGACAACGGACGCCGTCATCCACGGTCCACGTACTTCTCTACCAGCGATTTTACTTCCCGGAGGAACTCAGCCAGCTCGGCGGCGACAAAATCAGTTTCTATGAGCTCGACGCCAATAACTGCGGTCTATGAAGCGTCCTGGCTCTTGAAAATCGGGAACCTACCCTGTGCTGCTCACACGCGGCTTTCCGAAATGCGGCCGTTATTACCACACTACGACCACTTGTAAGAAAGATAATTCTAACAGTCCTGGTTATGTTAATGATTGGACGCTGATGTAATTATAATATTCGGGTGGGCAGCATTGTTCGGGCGCTTCTTTGTCCAAGTTTGAGAGTTTCCTGCCACAGCTCTTCACCAGCTATTCCTGGAGCGAATCCACAATGTTTTTGTGTTGTCGTAACTTCTCAAAAGATGGAGAAACCTGGTGAGCACACAATGTATGTTCACAATGGATTTCCTCTGTTCAATCACTTTGGCTTTGGGTCGGATCGAGAAGCACTTGCACGGTCAGCGTACTCTTCAGGTGTCACACTTTCCTCTGGTCGTCCGAGTTTCGCTTTTCCCACTACATCTGCTGTTTGATTCAAGAGTTTCTGGAGGTCGACTGCAATCACGTTCAAGTCGAAAATGGCCTCGCACAATCACAAGAGAGCTGGAGTCCTTGTAGCACGAAGTAAGCGAACAGGCGAGAGATATCCTGTACGCACATCTCACCTTGCCGGAGCATACAACAGCCCGGCCATACAGGGTTGGCATGCTGACCGGCTACATTATCTCGGAAACAGCAAGTGGGATGTTTGTCGATGTAACAGATCCAGTCATTCCAGTCACAGACAAGTCCACAATGAGGAAATAGAAGGACTTTGCCATCATTTCTTCCTGATGCATACAACAGAGACCATATGCAGCCGGGAGCAGTGGCGAGCGGTCGAGACCGAGACAGTAAAGGTGCCAAAGAGGTCGTCAACACAGAAAATGGACAACTATCAATCGGTAAATAGATGGACATATAGTAAGAAGGAGCCTTTCGAGTATGACTCGTCCTCGGTGGGAGAACTGTTGGCAGTCCGCGACCGTCGATCTCTTGGGTCTGGTATAATCCGTTCAAACACAACACAGAGTGCCCGGTCTTCGCGTTCAAGACCACTTTCGCTCGATCTGAATGGCAAGCGTCGTTTGAGCCACGGAACCGACGGTGAGGCAGATATCCCGGAGAATGTATGGCGGTTAAGTCGACCATCCGTGTATATAGGCATCCACAACACCGAGTCTATACTGAGCACCCCACTTGGCTCTTCCGTTAAACCAGCGGCGCAAGGGACCTATTTCAAGCCCTCGACGCAAAATCCTTGGTACTCAACACATGAGCTGAGTGCAAGGACTGGAGAGGTAAGATCTCGTGTCGACTCTTGGTATGGTCTTGCGCATAGTCCTGGGGCATTCGCACTGGACAGCGCTTCCGGGGGCTCAGATCAACAAACGGCATGCTACCCTCGCCACAAGACTGGCTACTTCAACACAGCCTGCGGCATTAAAGGTCCGCAGATGAGCTCTAGCGAAAGACCTAGACGCTCGACAGGGGGCTCTGTCGCTGCAAATACTGACTCTGACCACGTAGTAGAGTTACCGTCCTCAAAGACAGCGGTGGAGCTCGATACTATCATAACTCACTCTTCGTCACACAATTCACTCAGGTTACGAGAATTGGAAGACCGCCGCGTGGAAAACGTCAGCGAATTGGCCGGCCCCAAGCCCACTGTGCCGTCGATGACGTGTAAGAGAAGGACTTCACCGCGCTGACTCACCCGTCTATCGAATAAGCCCATGCGGGGTGCAAAGCTTCCATGTCAGGTGGACTCCCTAAACTCGGTTGGAGTGCGGTCCCACACTCGCTGAGCACCCACTGGGGAATATTCACCCTGCCACGACTAGTTCGATGAGCTAAACAAACGTGCGATCTTGCTGATTCATGGTCACTTCGTTTCCCGGGAGTGTTTACTGATGTATTGGCGGATTAGGGATCTGGAATTTGGTAATTGTCCAGTCTGTGGCCTGGCGCTCTGCAAGCGCATGCTGCACGATCGCATCCATACGGATCGAGAAGCAATCTTTGGTCAGTCTTTCACTACACCGAGAGCTGAATAGCGCGTTGAATCTGCATCGTACGGTGAGATCGTGCTCTGCTGCTCTGAGGAGCAGGTCGCTGCTGCGTAATTGCGGCTGCCGAAAGAGTTCATTTACGGCCACGCAGATGAGATTACTGTAATTAGTACAGGACTGCAGTATTGCTCTGCACGTAATAAAGCTGAAAAGCAAAAAGATTGAGAAGTGCAATTTAAACTTATATAAGAACAAAGCAACGCCAGTGTTGCCGCTATAAATCTTAATATTAGTTTCTAAACAACCTAACTATAACTAACTAACTTTACACTTTCAAATAAACATTAAATTTTAGCGTAGTACTGCTGTGCTACGCCTTAATCTATAGCTACTTCCGGTACGGCTGCGGCGCAATATAGTTACTGCTGCTTACTGTTGCCTATTACTGCATTACATCGTAGCCGTAGATTTCAGTACTACGTCCAGTTGGCAACGCTGGGCCCTGCTAGGAGCGGGGTATGTCGCTTTTGGCGCATTAGACACATATATTCGAACATTAGACATTACTAGCGAGATAAAGATACCATCGAGCTGATAATCTCCTTAATCCAGCTCAAGTCTTACTGATAAACGCGCCTGTGCATGAATCGGCTCGAAGTTGTAAGTGCCTGTCTTCAAGCCTGAGCTCGCAAGCAGTGGCTTCAGCCCTTGATTGAAATTCAATATGCAGACGGTGGCGTTCACGCAAGCAGTCGTTGCTAGTGCCAGCGAGCAACCCGCAAATAGGAGCATCTCGTTTTTTAAGATTGTGTTCGAAAGTCCGCTGTGCGGTATGTCGTTCAAGATGAGTATGCGGCTGATTAGATAGGCTATCTCACCGAATCTGAGAACCTGCAAAAGGTGTTAGGGGGTTATACGACAGCGGTGAACGCTGGAAGGGTGTGACTCACTAAGGCTGCAGCCGCTCCTATCTTGTTCTCCCGTTTCGTGAATACGATGGTCATGGCTACCTGTATCCAAAGTACTGGTATAATAGCCATGGTCAATGGAAACTCCGGAATCGCGTAGTGCACGTCCACCAAACCGTAGATGATAATGAAAGCAATCACGAAGTAGACATCCAGCTTCATGACGACGACTAGCACCTAGTATGTGTCAAATCCGGTGCTCGATATTCCAGGAGGGTGACTTACTTGATAGGTGAGGTACTTGCGCCTGACCGAGAGACTCCCGCTTATGTGCCGGTAGATCGCCCAAGCGAACTCACGATTCAGTCGGAAAGTGAGCAGCCATGATGATACCATGCAGGCACCTACAAGTACGCTTGACACGATGAGTACTGGCCGGACTACTGGCCAAAAGCTGACGTCCGCCTTCACAAACGGGATGTTATCAAGAGCGTGGTTGCGAGCCAGCCTTTCTGCGTTTTCACGCGTCTGTCCAAAACGCATGAGGGAGAAGACGAAAACGCCGACGTTGAAGATGCAGATGCCAAATAGCTGGAGATTGTTCCTCGCTCGAAGGGCATCGATGGCCAGACCCGCTAGGTAGACATTGCCTAGGATAAAGAGACCGAAGTTCAATGGCACAACATACGAAGAAGGGACCTGATAAACGACGGGGTTGATCCAGGCAAAGTATCGTAGAAGTACAACTCTGACTTCGTGTTAGCGTGTCACCTCTTCAATCTAGCAGACACTCGCTTACATATCAAGGATCGATGTTCCGATTGCCTGGGTGGCTGTAACCCCTATAAAAGCCCATTCGACCCGGGTCCGCGGCTTATACATAGTCCAAAAAGATCGGTGTGATATGTTTGACAGAAACTGAGATGGAGATATTCGTATCTTTTACCTAGAGATGTCGAACAGCCATGAATGATGGTCACGTAACAGCACAGTCGTGGGACCTCCGCGTACCTCAACGAGTTTTTCGGCTCGGGCCTTTTCACATAGCGCCAAACAGTACCCGGCCACAGCTCTCGGCATGCCCGCGTTCCGAAATTAGCGGCATTGTTGCAGCGAAGTAGTAATAATGTGCACGCTGCCACATTGAAGAGACGAGGATAGTCGTGAAGTTATTAGCAGTGGTCATGAAGGTTGCCCAGCACCACGAGGCTGGCGGAATCATAGTCCACAGGAGTGCGGTCCAGGCCAATCGGACCCCAGTTCGTGCGGTGTATCGCTTTGCAAAAGTGGGGCGGCTGCTCTCGGCTCAAAATCGAGAAGTCTATCATGATAATACCTAATGGAAAGTCGAATGCTCTTGTCTATCATTCTATCGTTGTGTTCAAATCGGCTGCTCAGCCCTTGACAGAGTCGCCATCCTTTGTTATAGCAGATGGGAACTCACGAGAATCCCTCGCCTCGTCCGGATTCTTGCCCTCGATGCTGGTCCTCGCTGCCAATTGCTCCGCTGCACCAGGCGCAAAGTCGCGGTACTCGGCACTTGTTCCGAGTCTGAAGCCAAGGTAGATGGTACCGATGAAAGTAACAACCAGCATAGCGAACACGGTCCAGTTGCCCATGGGGTAGTTTGGTCCGTCGGTCTTGGGAAAGAGGAAAGGAGCACTGATACCACCGCAATTGGAAATGGCGATAGTCACACCAGTGGCCAATGCAGTCGCTGTTGAACCGGATACTGTTGCGGTACGATGGGCAAGGAATGGCATAACCGCTGAGTTGGTGCAAGCGATCAAAAAGACGGCAACATAGCGACCAATCCAGTTCTTCACCACAGCCAAGATCAGATATCCAGTGCCGACAAGAGTCAGGCCAGCGAGAGCGTGACGAATGCGTTCCTTGGAATAATCGGAGTGGATACAGTTGCCCAAGATGATGAGTAGAGCGAAGACGTTAGGTGGCACAGTCAGCAGCTGCCCAGTGTAGCCCGTGAATCCGAGATTGGCAATGATAGTGGGTGAGAAGTAAGAGAAGGCGTTCAGACTGTTGACCATGAAGAAGTAGCTGATTGCGTACACCCAGAACAAAGGATCCAGGAGCGTCTGCTTGGCAATCTTCGCGTTAAAGGTTTTGTCTTCCTTGTTGGGCGCGAAAGGTCCCATGCGGGCGATAGCAAAAGCCCGCTCCTCTTCGGTGAAGAATTTGGCGTCTTGGGGATAGTTGGGCATCCAAATCCACACGACAGCGCCCCACAGAACTGCGGGAATACCGGTGATGACAAAAAGCCATTGCCAACCTGCAAGGCCGGCCTTGCCATTCAGGAAGGAAATGCCAGTCGCCAAAAGTCCACTGAACGCTCCAGCAACTGCGACGGAACCAGCGAAAATGGCAAGACGAGTCGCCCGCTCGGAAGGCTTATACCAGTAGCAAAGGTACCTGTCGTGCGTCAGCCGATCGTCATGTATTCCTCGCCATCAGTCTGCTTACATGACCACACCGGGAAAGAAGCCAGCTTCTGCAACACCAAGAAAAAACCGGATAGCCAACAGGCCGCCAAAGCTCTTGACAGCGCATGTGCAGATCGTGATGATACCCCAGCTGATCATAATGCGACCGATCCACACTGATGGCGAGAAGTACTTCATGGCGAAGTTGCTCGGGGCCTCGAAGATAACATATGGTACGAAGAAGACGGCGACAGCGATATTGTAGCGGTTGCCGGTAAGGTCAAGTTCATTCACGATATTGCTTGCCGGGGAGTTGTTGTTCAATGTACGGGCATTGCCTAAATTGACCTATTGCATATCAGCCAGTCGTTCAGAGCCCTTTCTGCAAGTGTGCTTACACGATCCAGGAAATTGATAAGATATGAGATACAGATAAATGGAAGAATGCGCATGTCAATCTTGCGTACAATGCGCCTCTCCATAGCCTTGTCATTCAAGTCCGGGACGTAATTTGAGCCCACAGCCATATCCTGCTCGACATTGGCCTGGTCGGCCTGCTTCACGTCGGTGGTGGTCATCCTGGGCGAGCTCAATGCAATGGATGGGAACTTCGACAGTCGCTTGAGCCTGACATGACTGGCGAGCGACCGCCACCTTTAAGACTCTACATCCTGCCCCCGATATCCTTCGATACGACGCTGGCTGAACGACACCGTATTCGTGGGGAGAGATAACAAAGATACGGCCCGTATCGCTCAACAGCCAGCTCGAGATGACAGTGTATAGTTTATTCTTCACGTGTCGACATTTACTGTGGGGCGCTAACCAATTGACGCCCATGGGGAAGCTACCGTCTGGCATCCGACAGGCCGGGCCGACATCGGCTGAGCGCCCAGCCCAAACGCGCTTCTGCTGCCGGGCAGAAAGCGAAGGATTGGCCCCACCAAAACACCACTTTTCAGTCATTTTATTTCGTCAAGGGCCAAGCTTCTCCGGACGTTATCTTGACGACGTCTCTAGCATGAACGATTTCTTCCGTGGTTCCCACACTTGTGCGACAACCGGACGAGACGCAGACCGGCTTCTATAGACATTCTGGCCAAGATCCAAGAAGTCTTCTCCCATACATTGCAATCTTGGGCGTGTTTAGTAACTGGCATCGGTTTGTTGACCGACGAGATCTCGTCTCGTGGAATTGTAATAGGTAAGAGGTCGGCGGGACACCCAGTCCGCAAGCAACGCTACCCATAGCCAATACATCGAATTGCCGCGTCCTGCCTTCAATATCCACACCGGAGAAACACATGTCAGGCCAACACGCACGTCGCGCACAAACATACGCGACACACGAGCTCGATGAGCGCCAATCTTGATTCCACAACATCCGTTGCCCTAGTCATTCTATGATTGAGGAATCGCATTCCATTCAACCTCGCGGAAGTTCCTCTTTTCACAGGAATCACCTTCGTATTTGTTTTCCAGTAACGACATCAAACATCGCGATCTATCCTGCGCCGGCGTCAAGATTGCTTGTCCAACGCCCAATACGCAGGCCATCTTGTCATGAGGCAATATTTGCCTTGAGCGCGAAAGATCGTTGTCAGCGACACAAACTTTGCTTGCCGTGTCATATCATGCTGGTAACGCTGTTTTGCAATCGATGAACTTACCAAACTTGAGTCTACTGCTGACTGTCCAACGGCTTACAGTGGGAACAGCATCATGCACGTGAATAGTCTCTTGAGAATCATCACTATGCCATGCAATGGTATTAGTCCTAACATTTAGAGACAACCTGGCTAGAACGGAAGATTATCAGACAGACACTTTCGTCATTCTGTCGAGCTCCATCCTCGTGGAGGAGGAACTTGTGGGGCTCAGTCGAAACAATTACGTGACGAAGCCTTTGTCGATGACAATTTCCACGAAGTTGTCAAGGACGAACAGCGCACCTTGAATTGTGACTTTCGCATTTATTGTTGTTCAGAGAAGCTCGAATGGTCGCAACGACAAGAGAAGTGGGTGCTTTGCCCCTTTGTCGGTCATGTTGTCGTCGAAAGCAGTATCTTGCCACCACTGCCTGTAGGCACTGCTGCTCAAAACTTTCCAGATCCCTTTCACGTTCAACATCTACTTTCACTTTCTACAAATACCTAGTACATGCGGCAAAGCGGGGCCAAATTCATTTGCCTATGATTTGCGCTAGTGCGCGTGCTATTGTGCCTCTGTTGTCACCTTGTTTTCGACTCGGCTTCCCCTACTTGCCTTCAACCACTCTGTCTTCGGAGTTTTCCACCATTATAGCACATCCTACCGTTATGGCTCCAGCAGTTTGCGCATTGCGGCGTAAGCGTGTCTGCGAGGAAGACGAGACCGACGCTGGCCACAACAAGCGCGCACGTACTACCAATTCTTCTGTGCACCATGATGGTACTATGACTTTCGTAAGTACAACTTCTTCTGTATTTTTTCTGGTAACTAACATCGATAGTGCCATCAGCAAGTCGGTATCCATCCCAAATGGCAACTTGTATGTGAGGTGGCAGGCGAACTTGCCGTCACTGCGGTGTTGGTACATTTCTCGACCAACTATCGAAGTTTCGACTGACATGCATAGGCGAGAGCTGAACGTTCTGTTCATTTTCCGCACTCACTTGGACGACGCATCTCCAGAGAGAGTCGTAGAAAGCAACTGGCTGGTCATTTTGAGTATGATCACTCAGTGAAGCCATCATGGAACAGTCATGCTGGATTGGTGACAGTCTCCACACTTAGGTTCCAGAACCTGGGTGACTTAGCGCAGACTGCCATTATGCTAGGTACGACCAGCGGACTCCTGAACATGACATTGACAATGGTTAGGCTGAGGCACCTGACAGCGCATATGTGCCCGCCAACTCACCATCAAAGCCTGAATGGGTCAGCCCTCACACTACCAGAACAGATCGTGCGATAGGCTCAACGATCGAACAAGACATTTTCGAGGATTTTTACAAACGTATGCAGCGCGATCTCAGCGAGAACCCATCTTCAATTATTCCAGGAATCCCACAAAACTATATCTACAGTGTGCAGTCAGCCCCACTCTATGCCCCAAGCAATATCTGGAAGCTGCGACATCTGAAGCCGCTACAACGCCAACAAAACTACCTCCAGTTGCGAGGTCTTTGCGACAAACTCAACCTCCTATCACCCGACGACCAACTGTCTCGGAATATTGTCGCCTCAATGATGACTAAGTCAGCTCTACTGCAACAGGCCGAGTTGAACTTCTATCGGATCTACATGAAACGAATGTTCATCATGGACGGAGAATACGACAAGAAGAAGTGTTATCTTCCATGGAACGTTATCACGAAGCACCAAAGCTTTGACACTTGCATCAATGAAGACGGTCAGGCACAGATTGTTCGCAACGCACCTGGCCCTTCATCGACATGCGTCAGCCCAGTCGTTGAGTGTGACCACAGTGCGAGCAGAGGGGATGAGAGCGAGGAAAACTCACTACTATCGGCTCGTTCAGATAATTTCATGAGCTCACCTGCAACATCCGTGGGACCGACGTCCAATTCCCAGATACAAACGCAGTCCTGCAAACGAAACGCACTTAGCCTATCGCAACTAGGGTCGTCGCCAACTCCATAAAAAAAGCCTCGCATCAACACCGAAGTTGCGGATCCAACAAAAGACACGAATGTCCTAGGTGAGGATCCTGAAGAAGTCGACGTGGACAAAGTCCTGGCCTCTTGTAGCCGGGATGTTATTTCGACGGATGGCAATCTCTACGAGCAGAACAAGACTGATATTGAAGCGGACTGGGCAGCCAAACCTTTGACACGCAAGAAGGCGGCATTATGGGAGAAGTTCGCTTACTGGAAAGAAAGGCATCCACTAGCAAGCCAAAGCTTGGAGTCTGTTCACGCCAAGCCAGCGTTCGAAGCGCAACGGCAGCCACAAGTCGCGACACTTTCAACTATGAGCAGGGTCACGCCAATTGTTGATCCCACTGCCGCATCTGGACAGCAAGACGGAGAAGACGCAAATGATCCTTCTACCTGGCACAAATACCCGGGTCAGGAGAATCGTTATCGTTGCGGTCACCGAAGCTACAGCTGCATCGAAGGCAGCTGCGAGAATGGATCACATTTTTGTTGCAGGAACGGGCTTTCCTTGAGTGCTAAGAAAGCCTCTTTCAAGCGAGCCGAGAGGCAAAATCGGACGAAGGAACAGAGAGGGATCGCCAGTGATGGAGGACCAGCGGCGAAGGGCATAAGGAAAGACCAGCTCAGACAGGTCTTCAAAGATGCGAAGCAAGAGGCGAAATGGAAGAATAGCAGCACTATCTCAGGCAGAAAATCGACGACTGCTTTTGCAATTGCACAGCAGGAGCCGCTGAACAGTCCTGTTGCTCCGCAGCCGGCCGCTAGACAGGTCGCATTGTTACAATCCTTACCAACGCCATTGCCGCAACAGCAAGCAGCAGCAAACGCTTACAAGCGAGCAGCTCCTATCGAGCCCACTATCAGGCCACTTTCCCAAGCCATGCGGCGCTATCGCCGTGAAGCCGAACATCGAGAGCGCCAGCACTCAGTCGGCCTCCAGAACTGGCCACGATTCAAGAAATGGTGGGATGCGCAGTGCCGTCAAGATCAGGGCCATCACCTGACGCCGGAAGAGAAGCAGATCCTCCAGCGGTCAGAGCCTTCGACTGAGCGGCGCACAATGCCTACGCCACAGCCTGTGTCAGCCTGTGCCTGCGGCGAAGAAACAGCGGGCGCTGTATATGAAACACCAGTCAGTGATGATGATTATTGCTCACTGTTCGGCGACAAAGAAGAAACTTCCACAGAGCAGCAAGCGCAGCAGAGCGCAGGAAGGAGCCTTGCGACCGAGGAGGAGCTCTTAGAATTTTTCGACGACGACGAGCTCTAAGCCATTCAGATTTGGAATGGTGTTGATGTTCGTTTTGATCGCTCTCATAAGCCACGTAGGATAGCTTCAAATGTTGAAATATGCTTTGGATTCTTAGTAGCTCGATCGCGCATATATTTATCCAATTCGTTCTCCGCCATTGAAATCTATTCCTAATGTCTCCGGCCCTGTTGAATTCGGTAGATACTATTTGGATGCGAATATTGCCGCTCAGTCAGTCCTCGCGGAAGCAGATCAGTGGCGGATGATTTAACACTGTGTATGGAGAGTTCCGACAGTGACCTTCGATGCCCCTCCGGACCTTGTGCGTTGTGTCCAGAGCGAACGCATTACGTTGAGACAAAATGCAAGACCTGTCTCAACGTATCTCTGCGGATATACTCGCTTCCACTACACAGATCATAGGACCCATGACATGAAAATCTATTGTTAGCTTTTTACTGCACTGATCTATAAGGCCCATGACATGAAATTCAGTCGTTTTTTATTCCTAGCAGGAAGGAGCAAGACCTGCAGATATGACCTTCCCACCAAGGGAAAGACAGACCTCCAAAGAAGTCGATGCGCGAAACAAAGGCACTCGCAATGAAGAAGACCAATCACGTGCAATAGAAGATGCAAGCACTCACGGAAGAGCCCCGCGAGCGCCGTCACCAAGCGGAGACACGAAGCGCCCAAGCACTGACCTACAGCTGAACGAAGACAAGTCGAAACAGGCCATCGACGCAAGAGCGATCTATGAGGCTAACCAAGAGGAGATTGACAAATGGTATGACAAAGATTTCTCGCGCAAACAAGGTAGAGCAACATGGGGCAAACCCCTGAAAAGCAAACATTTCTGGTACCAAAAGGTGAACGCATGGATGAAGATGAAAGGTATGACCTAGTCACCGAAGAAGAAGCGCAAGCTCAACGACGGCACGCCTGTGAGTGACGAGGTGCAAGAGACCCGCAGACTCAAGCCTCATCAGATCAAATACCCCGGCGATCTAGTGTCGGTGCCAGAATATCCAGACAGGATAGCTGACCACAACCCGAGGCCAGACGGACGCTACTCGTGTTCCCACATCCATCTCGAACCACCCAGGGATTGCTGCACGCTTGGTTTGACCAGGGAGAGCAAGTTGCACGCAATCAACAAAGAAAGGTCTCGCTGGAAAGAAAGGCAGGGTTGAAAAACTTATTGACGAGAAGCAGCTTGACAGTCGGCATATCATGACCTAACTGGACTGTACCGAAGCTGAGAAAGAAACACCAACCAGCGCTTTGGGAAGGAGGAGAGGCGGAGAAAGCTGAGCGAGAGAGGAAGAAGCGGGAGAAGGAACAAGAGACACGGCGAGAAATGGCAGTTTCGAGTGCAAGACAGACAGCGAGGCAGCAAGCAGCGCGAGGACAGCCTTTAACGCAGCGCGCGGCACCACTTGTCGTCTCTCAACACCAGCCCGCAAATAGAACGGCGTTCAGTTGGGCAGCGACTCCCGCGCCTCGAACACCACCTGCTGCACAAACGAGACGGCCCATTGCACCCATATGCCGCCGCAGTGACCCCAACACCATCGCCAGCGCCCAGGAGGCCCTCCTCAACGACCTAGCACGCACAAAGCCCCGCCTTCTACAATCACACGAAGCCCTCTACCACGACGCACAGTACCGCGAGAACAGGAAAGAGTATCCTGATTTCGCTCTCTTGAAGAAGTGGTACCTGTCGTACTTTCTCAAGCAACAGCGGCAAACGCTCACGCCCGAACAGAGCGCACTGCTGGAACATGGCGATCCAAGCTCGGATGGCAAGAAGCGGGCCGGTGGAGTGCCGGTGCTGGAGAGAGTGGATGAGCTCTTTGGTGAGTACTTACGGGCTGCGAAGGCGGAGAAATATGCACAGCAGACGCGGCAACAGTCTCAGGAGTCGGGTCCACCCGGACGATTTGCGAACGGAAACGTCGAGCGAGTGCACTCGCAGACACGCATACAACCTGTGACAGCGCCGGAAGTACATTCAGATCTTCCGGCGCAAGTGGAAATGTATGACTTTGACGATCTGTTCGGAGACACGGGGGTGTCGCTGCCGGCAGATCCAGCAGAACCCGTGTCCCACCTACCCTTTAAGGTGATGAGCCCGGGGAAGTTGGACAGTGAACTCGACCATATCCTGGGACTTTGTGCCTCGCAGCCTGCCATTCTTACAGCCGAGCCGGCAGCCCATGATGCAACAACGCTGCGCACTGAAGTGTCGTATCTGAGCACACTGCCGCCGGGGTTCGCTACAGGCAACCACGTTGTTGAAGATGAGATACAGAGGCTGTTGGAGTACGCTTACCAGATAGAGGCGTCAGCAGATATCTCCCTATCGCAAGATGAGCAGCTTTTGCGCCAGACCATCGAGGATCTCCGGTCGGGCTGGGAGCGGTACTGTGAGTTTTCCAGTGAGGGCGACGAGCAGTCGCTGCCGGGCCAAACAGTACCTGTTGAGCAACCAGTGGTTGATGAATTCGACTTTGGCGAACCTCCTACTGAAGAGCAGCTGGCGGTTTTCGATGAGTTTGATGACGGGCAGCAGCTGTTTACGGAGCATGATGCTAGGATAGCTGTGGCGCATGCAACGAATTCTGCTCGGTGCCGGTGATTGTGTGTCGCAGGGAGGTCATGGAACAAAGTGGTGGTTCGGGCAAGACCAACGAAAGTATCTGCTGTAGACAAAGCGAACAAGTCTGTAGATTGTAGAATGGCGAACAAGTCTGTAGATTGTAGAATGGCGAAAAGGTCTGTAGATTGTAGAATGGCGAAAAGGTCTGTAGATTGTAGAATGACGAATGCAGAACATCGGATGGAGATCAGCAGTGCAATACAACTCGTACAACAAGAATCGAAGACGAGCACGGGATGTGACGCAACACTATCAGCAGCTCCCGGCTCTAGACTCGCGCGATAGAGGTTGCCGCCAACCACGTGGCTGCGAGGGATCAATATTCGACGATCTCCACGGTCTTGAGCACGAATCGATGCATTCTACCGGCCGCGTCATCACATTTCTTGCAAGCGTGGCTGCCGATACCGGTGTGATGTAAATATCGACCGACATTGTTGCGGGAACGAGCTCATCACTGAGGCCAGAGTCGATCACTTGATAACAGCACCCGAGATCAGTAGTGCGGAAGCATGTCGCGGGCCAAGGAGTGAGGTTCGTCGTTGATAAAAGCCCCGGGTGCTCCCCACATGCCGCCGCTAGCGAGGTGGTCGGTGCCCCATGTCATGCTGCATCATGCTGCATCATGCTGCACCATGCGTCTACCTTGTCACCTGCAGCTTGACTCCTCACTTTGAAAGACGCTGATAGAGACGTGCAGTGTGCGACATTTCCTGTCTATTGCGCGTCCTTTCGTCCGCCATCCTGCGGACCGTCGCTCCCCTTTTGTACTGCGACACCATCCCGATATCGCATTGCCACCGTCACCTCTATACAGCGCGCGCCCAAAGGAGAAGGTATCCGGTACTTGTGAGATTGTCGAAGACGATTCGATCGTGCATAGCGGCGTAATAACGTTTCAAATTCAACTCTGCGCGGCGGCTAGGCGCAGGTTGGAAGGTGTCACTGGCGCAGCTGCCGAGACCATATACCAAGCGACCGCGGAGGCCGAACCCCTGCAGTACCACGTACCAGGGCACATGTATGGTGTTGCGTTTGGGGTTGCACGAGCAGGCCGAGCAGCGCAACGACACGGCATATTTTGGGCGCGCTGGTCTGGGGAAGCTGCTCTTATAGTAGAGTCGACCTCGCCACCGGGCATCGCTCTTGATCAACGGATCTGCCTGGCTATATGCGCAGTGTCCACAGCAGCAGATACGTCTTGGAGGCTGATATGGATACCCCGCCCACACCATCCCCTCTCTTGGCCTTGCCTGCCGAACTCATCCAGCACATCCTCAGCTTCCTGCCGCTCTACGATTTGCTCACAGTCAGTCTTGTCTGTCATGGGTTGAAGGAGCATTCTCGTGAAGACACGCTGTGGCAGCTGTTTGTGCAAGAACAGGTTCCGGGACGCAATGTGCCAAAGCCCAGGAACCTGTCCTGGAGGGAGGTGTTCCAGCAACACCATCCCTACTGGTTTCTGGCCAAGAACAAGATCTGGTTCGCCGACACGGCACACACGGGCAAGCTGATTGTCGCGCGGTATGATCACCGCATCAACGCAATCGAAGCGTACGCACTCGTCGCCGAGCGGAAACGCCCTGTGATGCAGATCTGGGAGTGGAATCCAGAGGCCATCATCCACACGTTCCAGCCAAAAGTGCAGCTGGACATGGTGTCTCCGGTCATACGACTGAACGGAAACTCGTACGACCGCGTCTACGGCGACCGACTGCAACACGAGATCCACCTGGACGTTCACCAGGAAGTACTGGACGCAAGCGCTGGAATCCGATCGAGACTCTTGCTCGCCCGGCCCTGGCCCAAAGACATCATCACCAAAGCAACGCCCGTGTGGCCACCGCTCGTCCTCCCGAGCACCGAGCGCACACGCAACGACACATCACCGTCCGGCTTCCGCCACACCGCCAGCAAGCCAGCGCGGCTGCACGAGCTGTCGACCAATTCGTTCCGGATACGGCGGTGGATGGAGTTTGCCTCGCGCGCCAACGGCGTGACGATGCGCGTTGGCGAAGACATCACGACGTTTGCCACCCTCCCTGAATCCAGCTACACGCCTACGCCCCAGAAGCCATGGCAAGGGATCTGGGTCGGCGACTATGCCGGCCACGGCTGCGAGTTCCTGCTCGTCACGCAGCCCGACGAACCCCACCCGCTGCCGGAGAGAGCCGAGTGGGCGATGCGCGCGAGAGAGCGCGAGGGCAGCGTGAGCAGCGCGGGGAGCTGGAGCACTGCGCCCGCCGAGGCAGACACGTCGTCGTCTTCGGACGAAGAAGAGACGTTTGAGACCGCCTCCGACGCGGAACTTGAAGACAGCGTGGCGACGCTGCAGGGAGCAGACATACGCGCCGACTACGACATGGTGGATGCAGAGGAGGCCCCAACAGACGACGAAGACTCGATCTACCGCGGCAGGATCGAGGCCGTTAAGCTCACGGGCGACCCGAACATACCGCGCGGGGAGTACACGTTCATCGCGCCGGACATTGGGCCGGACGGGCTGGTCCGCGTCGCGACCGAGGACATGTTCAAGGGCGCGCGCATCGTCAAGAGCGTTGGCCACATTGCGGCGCACGGGTTCAGAGATGGTGAGTGTTTGAGTTGTGGTGTTTGATGGCTCGACTGACACGCACAGACACGTATATGACGTCGCAGCTCATTCTCGTCTCGCACGATCGATTAGCGCAGTACTGGGAGACGTTTGGGCACGTGTCGTTTTACCAGCGCGTGGACCTGGACCAGTTTGTAGGGGTGTGATGTCGGGAGCGTGTTGTATCTTTGTAGCATAACGTAGCATATCGTAGCATGTCGTAGCATGTCGTAGCATGTCGTATCATGTCGTAGTATAACGTAGCTGTCGCAGCATGTCGCAGCATGTCGTAGCATATCGTAGCATATCGTATCATGTCGTAGCATAGTTATCGCAGCATGTCGTAGCATATCGTAGCATATCGTAGCATAACGCAGCATAACGCAGCATAATGTACCATAATGTAGCGTGTACATTCATTCTCTGACTGTTTACTCGAAACCATCTAGACCATGTGAAGGGCCCAGACAAGCTCCTGAGGCGTCGATCATCCTTCCCCGCGCTAGCCCTACCCCCCTGTCGAGAAAAACGCGCCCCACGTCATGACGGTCACGGCTCTTCCAAAACGCGCCTCTGGTGGCCATTCGACAATCACACTGCTCCCACCACATTCCCCTGCTTCTCTATTCTTACCGCCACGCACACCATGGCCCCTCTGCACGAAAGCTACGAGCTGCGCGTCACCGCCGGCGCAACTTACGACCGCACAAAGCACCAGATCGTGCCCGTCAACACGGAGAAAGCCGTGCACATCTCCTCGGACCTGATCGACGCACATCTGCACATGCGGATCAAAGACTACCGGGGTGTGTCTCGCACTTGCGCCCACCACGGTACAAAACTAACATCCCAGGCCTCCCCAAAGACTCGCCATCAACATCGCCCTACTTCGCAACCCCCCCGCACACATACGACCGCTACTCTATTTCCTTCACCTTTGTGCCCAAGCGCGATATCCGCGGGGACAAGCTGGTGTTTGGGAATGACTTTGAGCATCCGATTCGCGACCGCCTGCCGCCGCTGTTCGACAAGGCGTTTGGGATTGTCAAGTGGTGGATTGATCCCGGGCTGGAGGGGGATGTGTATGGGGATGAGCCGTACTTGTATGGCGCGCTGCTGTCGAGCATGAATGTGTTGAGTATTGGGGGAAAGACTGACGACGCAAAGAACGACGACGCAAAGAAAGACGACGCAAAGAAAGACGACGCAAAGAAAGACGACGCAAAGAAAGACGACGCAAAGAAAGACGACGCAAAGAACGACAAAGACGAAAAGACGGTTGAAAAGGAGGAGAAGAGCGACGCGGTCGTGTACACCGAAGGCGCATCCGGCAGCGGCACCGCACTGCGCGCCTCGCACAACATCCCCGCGACATCTGCAGCGCGACAAAAGTTCTTCCTCACCGAGTCCAACAGATCGAGCTTCACATTCGAAGCAGGCCGCGAGTACTCGTGCGATTTCTTCAACCCGTACTTGGACTTCAACGAGTTCGCGCTGAAGATCGGCTACGGACTACCCAACATCAGCATCATCGGGCACTGGGACGGGCAGCCTCTGCGGTACGTCTGCATCACTCCCCCCATCGTCTCCGTTATTAATATTTTCATCTCTTTTTCTTTATCGGCTGACCACATCACTAACCAGCCCGCACTCGCTCAGATACACGCTCAAGGACCGCGAGTCGGACACGGAGCTGCTCGTCGTCGTTATCCAGCTTTGTCCCACCGCGCAGGCGGTCAAGGACGGCGCCAAGAGCGCCGAGGAAGAATTCCAGGAGCTGCACGGCCGGCCGCTGCCGAAGCCTGAGGAGGGAAAGACGGGGGAGGGGAAGAAGCAGCAGGAGACGGGCAATGACGATCTGGACTAGAAGCGCTGGAGCGGGAGTGCGTGGATAGAGAGGCTGGAGTGGGAGTGCCTGGATAGAGAGGCTGGAGGAATACTGAATGCACGTGTCACTACTGCATCTACTCTAGTCTACATTGTGCTACACTGCGTTCATGTTTTTACCAGACACCTGCTCACCACATCACAGGCGCTTGCAGATATCCTCGACAATCTCGTTCGTCTTGGCGGTGCCGCCGAGGTCGGGCGAGAGCAAGCGGCCCTCCTCCAGACAAGCATCGACAGCAGCATAGATAGCAGCGGCCGCCTTCTCCTCGCCCTGGAACTCGAGCATCAGCGCCGTGGAGCGGATGGTGGCGATGGGGTTAGCGATGCCCTGGCCCTCAATGTCAGGCGCGGACCCGTGGCACGGCTCGCCGATGACAAAGTCGCGGCCGACGTTGGCGGACGGCACGAGGCCCAGCGAGCCGACCAGCGCGGCCGCGCCGTCGGACAAGATGTCGCCGTACAGGTTCGGCGCCACGATGACGTCGTAGTCCTGCGGCTGGCGGAACAGCTTGTACACCATCGAGTCGACAATCTGCTCCTCGACGTCGACGAGCTGATACTTGGGCTCGGCCAGCGCGCGGCGCGCCGTCTCGCGGAACAGCCCGTCCGTCTGCGAGAGCACGTTGGACTTGTGCGTGATGGTGACGAGGGGGCGGTCGTGTATCGAGGCGTTCCCCGCGTCGCGCACGCGCTGGCGGCGCAGCGCAATGTCGCCGGCCATGGCCGCGATATTGTACGACGCCGTCTCCGAGATGCGCTTGATGGCCTCGGCGATCTTGCTGCCGTCGGGCGCCGCGTACGTCTTCTCCTCCTTGACGTACAGATCCTCCGTGTTCTCGCGCACGATGACGAGGTCGACGGGGTTGCGCGCGGAGGCGACCGACTTGACGGGCCGCACGTTGGCGTACAGCTGCAGACGCTTGCGCAGCGCGACAATGGGCGACGAGTAGCCCTTTGTTGCGACCGTGGGGGACGATACGGCGCCGAACAGCGCGCCGTCGCAGTCTGACTTCAGCGCCGCCACCGTGTCCTCGGGCAGCGCGACGCCCTGCTTCTGGAACGTCGCCCACCCGGCCTCGTGGTGCGAGAAGCTGAACTTGAGCCCGAGCGACGACGGGAGCGCCTCGAGGATGCGGCGGCCCGCGGGGATAACCTCGCGGCCAATGCCGTCGCCGGGAATAAGGCCTGCACGTCAATTAGCCTCCACGTGTCCATGCTGTCTTTTGAGAGCGTGTCTACCGATTCTCAGCGTGCGGGCGGCCATGGTGGAGCGTGGTGGTGATGCTGGGCGGTGAGGCTCTCCCGAAGTTTTGAGTGCTTTCGCCGAGACCGGAGCTTGGACGGCAAACACAACTCCACGACGCTCCTCAGCCACAGCGCTCCTCAGCCACAGCGCTCGTCAGCCACAACGCTCGTCAGCCACAACACTCCCCCGCCACTACACTGCCCCGCCACAACACTGCCCCGCCACACCACTCCTCAGCCACGAACGCTCGACTCCACCTCCACCTCCGCCATGGATGACTTGCTGGAATAAAGGCCTGCAGTCTGGTGGCCTTGAGTCAAGCCTGACTCCCGCTACTTGCCAAGTCGAGATCAATCCGGACTCCCGCTGCCTTCAAGTCACCTGCAACGGCTGAGAGGAGAAGCAGATCACGTGTTGTTGGCGGTGGTCTGGTGCTGCTTCCTCATGTTGTTGAGCACCTCTTACCTCAGCTGCATCACAAACACGTCATCAAAACAGACCCCGCAGCGAGCCAGACACAAGCATAACAGGACAACAGAACAACACAATACACTCGTTATATACATTTGCCCTTGATGCCGCAACATCACCACTCGCTGATGGAACCGCATCAACAACGCCGTCGAATGCTTCTACCGGTAATACCGCCGCCGCAGACAGGCGCACTCGTCCTTCTTGATGATTCCCGCGTTGGTCATGTCTGAGCCTTGCACATGGTGTCATGTGTTGTTTTTCGCAGTTCGCCGTTCGCTGTTCACGCTCTGGGCAGCTGAAGTCAGTACGAGGGTGTGGCTGAACCGCTTCAGCGTACACCTGCAATACTCGTCAAAGGTTAGAAAAGATAAAATGATAAAACGATAAAATGCATCCCATGGTCTCTCCAACTCCCAAATCACATCCTACTCTCCTCCTCGTTCACCAACCCGCAGCATGATCTTTGCGACCTTTGCCCTCTTCGGCCTCATCGCCACCTCAAGCGCGATCGGCCCCATCGCAAAGTTCAGACCCAATACTCCCCCAGCTCGTCCGCAGACGCAGCCCAAGCTGCCAAACCCCAATAGCAACAAGCTCCCGTCCCCTGCAAAGCCCGCACCGGGGCAAGAGCAAGTCCAAGCGAACAATGTCGGTGGCCTGGACAAGAGGCTCAAGGAAGCGCAGGACATCATCAACCTGAGCGATATCGGCGAGGACATCGAGGAGGCCATACTGGGAACCGCGCAGTCGACGACGGTGAAGTGTGAGCAAACATTCGTGGCGATGAGCCCCGTGCCGCTGCTGATATAGCCAGCACCATCCACACTGACAATCGACGCAACCGACTTTGCGCCCTGCAAAAGCTACGCCTCGATACTCGCCTCGTGCGCCTCGGCCACGACAAGCTTCTACGCCCTCGAATACGACGAGCAGGCTTCGTGCGCATGCTACCAGGCTAGCACCAAGACCGCAGCATGCCAGGCCGTGCCAACGCTGGACACGAGCTACGACGACTACGAATCCGAGTGCCACGCCTTCTTCGCCATCAGCGGGTACGACGGCATTGCTGAAGCCATGGACGACGCGATCCAACTCCCTGGCCCGGGCTTGTGTGGTTGGGCAACGACTGCGTACTCGATGCCGACGACGCTGCCGGAGCGGACTGTGAGATGCGCGGCTGCTACGCCGACGCCGACTGCGTCTGTGACTAAGCTGGAGACTGACCAAGGAAATGGAGCAGCGCGGTTGCTGACAAGTTTTGACCGGGGAGTGCTTGTGAGTTCAACGTGAAATGCTGTCAAGGTCGAGGGCGCTGCTGACATGTGGTAGATGGTATTCGGCGTCGCCGCGGTGGTGGTTTCGTGGATGGTGGTGGTGTAGCTGGATCTGCTCTGGTACATAGTTGGAGATGGGCATTACGCAACTGAATACTCAGCGACGTCGGAACCCAGATGAGTCCTCTCCGAGCAGATATCTGCAAGTGTTCATGGAGACGAATCGGCTCTGCGTGGTGAGACCTGCGCGTCGTGAAGCTCTAGACAAAGTCGACTGCGGCCGAGCGTTGCACGACCCACGTTCTCCGCCACCATGCCAGACTGTTTCCCCTAAAGATGTATGCAAGCTTACTAGATGTCATCTTGCTCCAGCCAGCCAAAAAGCACATTCTGTGCATTTCTTAGGTACCGCATCATCGAACGTGCCCGTCGCACTTCTCGTCTCCTTACTGGTGCGAGTATCGACCATAGTCTCGCGCATCTCGGCCCCGACCCGTAACGCTGATACCTGCGACGATAGACAGTGCATTGGACACTAAATGCTCTCCGGTCACCCCACGGGATAAAGGTGGGAATTTTGCCGTGCATCGACAGAGCAACTGACGATCTCTGCAAGCAAGGCATGTTTGATATGGTAGTGCAGTGGAACAAGCGCGCCTCGCCGACAGAAGACGCAGTGCCGAATGATTGTGCTTGTCGTTCGAGTCCAACGGGGGACATGCAATGCTTTGCTCGCCAAACAGGCCTCGGAAATCCCTCTGGGTGCGTGTCACTGCAATTCCCGAGTGGGAGCCTATTGCCAGTACGTGTAATGGGCTGCAGAGCGAGGCGCTGTAAAACGACCCGGACTCCAACGAGCTGCCGTGGTGACAACATTGAATTGGATTCGTAGTCATTTCTGATCGGCGCAAAGATGATTGTCGCGGACGCTTCGGAGACGCCAGACGTGGCGTGGTGTTTCGATGCTTCATTCCATGTGACCCGGGTCCCTCACGCCTGAGGCTCCAACGGTCTACAGCGTACAGAAATCACGAAGAGAGGATCCACAACCAAGTCTCAGCTCGACACCTGCCGACAGGCCTTAAATCCTCGCTCTTCACCTTGGCCACGGCTCCAGCGACCAACTTACCTTTCTTGTAAACCGACGCTCAACAGACCGGCGCGCGTAAAAGCACTCGCGGCAACGAGGGTCCGAACATCGTCCGTAAAAGTCCGATTCACATAATGTCGCAGCAGATATCATGCCTATTTACCAGCCAATTCAGGGGTGCAAATGTATGTACATTTTGCCTCTATTTTGGCTGCAACACATAATCAGGTCAGGCCTCCGCATCTCAACCTCCATCAGGCAAGGCATCACCTTTCGACGGTGAAACAAGACGTGGCTACCAGCGAAGCGCTTCCAGCGCCGACAGGAAAAAAGATGGATTCGCGTGTTCGATGGGCGTGCGGACAGATTTCGTTTGGAGCGGGAGGTGCATTGCTGGCGAGACGGCTCGGTGGGACAAGTGTGGCTTCGGCTGGACGTGATGGAGCGTCGCGAGCGGGTCGGGTGAGGGTGGTGTGTGTTGTGGATCCCCAGTCAACAAGAGAGGAGCGCAGGGTCTTTGATGAGGAGACAGGGACGTGGTATATATGCAGCAGCTACCGCTTAATAGACATCATGTGTAGACGTCTGCGCTGCAAGAGTATCTCGCGTTAGAAACCATGTAGTTGTCAGCACGGGCGTGAAGAGATTATATACCTAGGGACCCTTCTGCCGAACATTTGAAACCCTCGATTTTTGGCCCGCAGATGGTACTGCCTGTGCTACGCAACTCCAATCCGCACCGCAATCGTACAAGAAGCTCAAGAACCAAGATGGAAAAAAAAAGGAACAAGGCAACAGCGCAGCTCAGCGCTTCCTCTTCTTAGGCTTCTCCTCCTCGTCGTCCAGCGCGCCCTCCTTATCCTTCCGCGCGGCCTTCTTCTCGAGCACGTCCCAGTCCTCGCCCTCTGAGAAGTCGTCCTCGGAGCCCTCGTCGCTCATCTCCTCGGATGCGTTCTCGTCAAAGTCGCTCTCCTCGGACGACTCGTCCGAGATGGCGAGTTCCGACTCGGACACCTCGAACGCAGACTCCTCTTCCTCCTCATCGCCATCCTCGTCGTCCGACTCGGTGGATAGGAACGACCACCCGCCGTCGGCGAAGAATTGGTGCGGGTCCGACGTGACCGTCTTCATGATGGTGGCCCAATTCAGGTTGAGCGGACCCTCGCTGAAGGGTATGTCGACCGAGTCCAGCCAGTCCTTGACCGGGTCGAGCGACTCGACGGGGATGGTGTTGATGTGGACGGGCGGGCGGTTGTAGTCTTTGAAGACGACGACCATGTCGAAGTTCCGCAGACCAAACTGCACGCGTTCGAGGTGGACAATCTCAATCTCAGAGAGTGTCAGACACGTGAACGGAGGCTCCGTGAGCTGCACCAAGCAGTCTGTCGTGGGCTGGATTAGGACCGAGGATCGAGCAGGCACACCGTTGAAGCCGAGCTCGCGGTACGGAATGTCGACACTGACGTTCTCGTTGCGTGCCGCGTCTGCAATCTTCTCCGCAAAGTTCTTGAACTCCTTGTCGAGCGCTGCTCTTCGCCTGCGCTCTTCTTGTTCCTGCTCAAACTCCTCTTCGTCGCCGAACTTGTGCCGGCGCTTGCGGTTGCCTGTGTCGTCGAACTGCATCTCTGTAGCTTCACGAACGAACTGCACGTCTTTTGTCTTCTTCTTGCCCAGCATGATGGGGTTCTTGAGGTGGACGTGAATGATGACAATCAGCTCGTGTTGCGATGGCTGGAAGAACAGGTGCTTCATGTTGCTGAAAAGGACGTCGATCCTCGCGCTGCCACCGCCGTGGACGTATCGCAGACCGTTCTGATGGATTTCGATGCTTCCAGGGATGCGCTTGCCGTCGAGTGCGGGCCGAATGAATATCAGGTCGAGTGAGAATGGCTTGCGAGTCTTCATGAGGATGAGCTTGTCTTGCTCCACAACGTCCTCCAGCTGCTTCTTCTCCTGGTCCCGTCGCACGACCTCCTTCTTCAGCTCAGTGATGTCCTTGGTGATCTGGTCGATGCGGTCAATATCGTGGGAGCGGAACGTCAAGCTGCGAATGAAGTGAGCGTTGGGATCCTCGAAAGGCTGATCGTCTTTTCGGCCCACACCCTGGCCGGGTGAGAGGAAATTAATCCGAAGTGATGTGACGTCCTGTTCGGGCGTGTGCGAGGCGTTCTTGATGGTGTGGATGTGGAAGGGAACCGGACGACCCATGATGGGCAGAATGACCGTCTGCGCCTTCTTGTCCACGACAATCTCCAGGTTTGCAACGTTGTTGGGAAGCTGGTTGTCGCGCTTGTACGATTCGAAGCGCTTGAACTTCTTCTCCTCGGTGCCATTGAGAGACTTGGCGCCTTCGCTGTACTGTTCCAAGCCCTCCTGCTGCTTCTTCTGGTGCAGCTCGCGCTGATGCTGCCGCCTCTGCTCCTCCTTCTCCGCGTCCTGATTCGTTGTTCGCTCGTGTCGTGTGCGGGTCTTGGTGATGTTGGTCTGTGCGATGGCCGGCCTGCTCTCTTTCTTGACCTTCGGCTTGGCCTCTTCTTCCTCGTCATCGAAGAAGAACGAGACGGCGTCCAGGTCGGATGTGGTGTCCTTTGTGAAGACGGAGGCATCTCCCTGGCCAACACGGATCGTGTCGACCAGAACCAGTGAGTACGTCTTGCTCTTCCTGTCCTGGGGCTTGCTGTTCTCCAAATCCTGCAGGCCAGTCTGAACGACAATGGTCATGCCGTCCTTTAGAACGCGCACGTTCTTGCCGCTCAGGAGCAGAGCATTGTCCTTGTTCTCGGTTCCAATGCCGTATCCAACGTTCTTGGGGAAGTGCTTCTCCCACTCTGGCTTCTTCGACTTCAGATGCGAGAGCGCCTTGTTGTAGATGTCCTTTGTGACTGCGCCGTCCTTGATCGACTTGATGACCAAGTCGTGGATGGCCAGAAGCAGCTTGTACGCCGTCTCCTGCTCTTTGTTAGGTCCAACCATGTAGGTACGGCCGACCATGGCGCCGTATGTCTGGTAGCGCAAGCCGAGGACGGAGATGATGACGCCGGGGTGCAGGTTGTTCTCGTCGGGCTCGGCCGCGAACTTGAGGTCGTAGGCGCCGCCGCTCTGGATGGTGGGCTGCAGGCACCAGTCGAGCTGCATGGCGTCGAAGGCCTTGGAGACCTTCTGCTTCTCGAAGAACTTGGCATCGTCGATCTTGTTCGCAACCTTGTCGGCGAGGGCTCGGTGGGTGATCTTCTTCTCTGAATCGAGGATGTCGGACATTTCCTCGACAAAGTAGTTGGTCATGAGGGCGCTCGACGCGCGGGCAGCGTCGCGGATGGTGCGCTGTGGACGTTAGCCGGGATGCAAGTTGTACATGGTGACTGCTGCCTACCAGCTCCCTCTCGTCCTTGATGGACAAGGCGGCCTGCGAGAGGATCGGCGCCAGATCGACCTGGTCCTCCTCCTTGATGCCAGCCTCGGCGAAGGCAGCCTTCCACTCGTCTGCGAACCCTCCGGTGGAATTGTCCTTCTTCAGGGCGGCGACCTTCTTGCCGGCGTTCTTGAGTGTCTCGATGCATGTCTGGAACTGCTTCTTGTTCTCCTCGGCGTCCTTTCCGCGCACAAGAATCTCAATGGGCACCTTGCCGCCCTTCAGCGGCTCCAAGTACGAGGCTGCGTGTGTTTGTCAGCACTTCAGTCAATCCTCTGCTGCCAGTTCACGACGCACCCTTCTTCTTGGTGGTGACAATCTGGAGGAGGTCGGGCGTGAGGATGAAGAGCGTTGCGGGGAACTCGTAGCCTAGCAGCCATAGCTGCGATTGCGCCGTCAGCTATGCTCGTAGAAGGAGCGATTGGTTGGTCTCACCTGCAACGCTGCAGGCTTGAGGTAGCTGCCTGGATCGCTCGCCTTGCCAACAACGGTGGCTATGGAGCTCGCGCCCTGGAAAACGGCATCACCAGCGCGCTTGTCGGCCTTCCACTTTGCGACAAAGCTGCCCAGGCGGTCGTGGAAGAGCTGCTTGTCGATGACGATGTCGTCGGCCATGGTTGCGAAAGGCGAGCACGGGGGCCTTTGGCGGGACGACGGTAGTTGAGGAGAAGTTTGGAGGGTGAGAGGGCGACGACGAACAAAGTTGACATGAACGTCGACGTGCGTAATGGATAAACGCGAGCGCGTTCCGCGCAGGCCTTGGCACGGGTCCAAGCTTCCCCACGCGAGGACCCACCCTGGACTTGGGTCGTCAATCCGCTGTCTGCGCTCGAAATGTCGATGGACACCCGAAGCCAGCACTGCCGAGCCCCTCATCGGCTCGCCCTCTTCGCAACAAGTCCCGTGAGCACCTCCAGGCCCCGACAGCGACACCGTCCCCGGTGACAGCTCCACGTGCATCCTTCACCTGTCGCCCGCCAAGCCTCAAGCAACCCACCAAAGCAGAGCCGCCCTCTTTCATCCAGCAAAGCAGAGCCGCCCTCTCTCACTTCCCTGCTACAGTGGCGAGCACAATCGGTTTTCCGGACTTGGGTCAGCTTTGATCTCACCGCACGGTCCATACGGCAGGGATCATTCCACACCCGTGCAAGTGGGTTGCAGGGGTGCTCGTGTAATGTATCTTATGTATGAAAACAGACAAGACTAGTCATTAACGAGGTGTAACCTTTCATTATAGTCTTATGGCATAGAAAAGGGGGTCTAAACAAATACTATGCGCGGATACACTTAGGATTTTGCGTGATTAGCTCCTTGCTACTGCAAGAGATAACACTTGAATTGTATCTCTATTAACGTGAACATCGCTTTAGTCAGGAAAGGCTTACAGCTTGTGGGTGAGCATAAGTGGAAGGGAAGTATGCATGCCACCTCTAGTTGCCCCGCTGCAAAACAAGATCAGCAGAGCCAGCCATTGCGGGGCTCCTGAGAGACGATGAAGGTAGTGCTTCGTCTGAGTTGGCAGCCAGGTCAGCATAGATGTCAGCCAGAGCTTTAACTGACACCAGCAATGCCGGATGATTAGCTCGCAGGACGCGAGTCTTGATCTTCACCACGGTCTCGAGCAAGTCTACAGCTTTGTGTATCTGACCACTTGCATGGTATGCTCGTGCGAGTGCGTGCTGCGACGCCAGTCGAGAGGGGTGCTCTGGCAACAGCGTCTTCTCT